TATAACTACAACAGACTTTCCTGTTGTGTGTGAGGAAGTAGACGGGGAAACTCATGTATGCATGTGCTTTATTTCATCGTGTTCATTTAGATATGGGCTGATAATTCTTGTCATGCAATCCGAAGACAGTGCCACCAACCAATGAGGATTTGCCGCTAAACTACTGGAAAAAAAGCTACCGTATGTGTTTTTTCCCCTGATTTGAGACAAGGGGAAAGCTGCTCCAGGACTGCACATGAAGTTGTACGATGTTTTATTTTGGAAAAAGTCACGTAGCATATCGCATTCTAATTCCAACGCAGCTTGCAAAGTTTAAATTTCTTTTTCAGATGAATAATTTTAGTCTACTTGAATGATTTGTTGGACAATTTGTACTTACTTTCTACCTCATTCACCGCAAAGACGGCTGACAGTTCTTATCAAGTATCAAAACCTTTGTCCCTCCGCGCTCGTCCGATAGGTCAACTTTACTGAACCTGAGGTCAAAATGGAATCCGGGCATCATTCAGCTTCAGCTCTACGACGACCACCTTAATTGTAATCAACCAGTCCGTGGGTCTTTTCTTCAATACCGGACACACATATCAACGAAGAGGAAGTTGTGTCTGTCAAGAATTAGGCGTGCACACTTCGACCCCCTTCGAATAGCATTTGGTAGTCGGGCCCCTTTCCTGAGTCCGTTGGTGCCACTTTGCTGAGCCCATGAGGGTAAATCGCGTGGTCTAAGCTCTTCAGTCTTAACTTCTCAATCACAACACCTCAAGCCAACACATTTGAAAGCGTTTTTGACTACCTTTCCTCCGCTTTTTTCACCTATTACCGGAAGTGGGATATTTACTTCCTTCTTCCTTTTTTCCCCTGACACACTGTGCGACATATTTGATCAGACAGTACAACAGCACTACAATCAGGAGCAATGGCCAGGAATGAACTTCAAATCCACTTCTCCGCCTCCACTGATACAGCTACACTTCACTCAGCCACACGAGGAGGCAGCGCCATCTTCACCGCCTATTTATAGACCGTCTCAGACCACTTCTCCCAACGCCTAGCCGAATCGCAAAACCCTTTGTCTCTCTCTCAACAAGCTCGGCGTGCACGAATTTGGCCATCAGATTCAATTGCCATGAAAAAAGCAAAAATTTTTTAGCAATTTTTTTCCTCAGATAAGCTATAAACATAAATCTCCAGGGCCGCAATTAAGGTGAATGATTTTGCAATTAGGGTGAACAAAACAACAACCTTCAGACTGCTTATCCCACTGCTTTTGACGGGAAAGGCAAAATTTCTCCACCGACAAGTCATAAGGAAAATGTTTTGGGGGAAAGAAAAGCGGAGATAAACGTTCCGACTAACTGGAAGGTTATAAACATGATAACATTGGAATTTTAAGGTTAGAAGAATTTTTTTTGTGAACTTTTTGGATCATCGAGCGTGAGTTTGAAGTTCTAGTGACCATCACACGACGCTGTCCTTTTGGCTGAATGTGGCTTGAAGGCATTCGTATAAGGAAGGTGGTAGGATGGGATCGGCGGGATATCCTCTACTGTGATCTCGACTACTCACTTGGCAACATGAAGCCATGTGCTTATCAAGGCTGTAGGAACTTCTAATCACATTTTTTTGTTCTTCATTTGCAAAAGTGAGATGTGGTGGTAGAACGGGCTGCTTCCCAACAATGATTTAAATGGTGAGCCAATCGGGGATTGATTATCCTCACTGAAATCCGGGCACCTGTCACTATTAATAAAGGTGGTTAGGGATGAAAGGGTCCCGGACAGCTTTCAGCAGTGTTTAACTGAGTGATGCGAAGACTTGTCGACCCTTTCACCAACTGACAGTCGTGGAGGTTGAAAAAAGCAGTCTCACGCAGACACATCAACGGACGACATTAGGCTTTGGAACGTTTTCCACCTCACTTGGGGAAGGGAAATGGTATCTGCATCTTAACTTATAGTAAGTGAACAAGTCTTTGGTAGTTCTCCAAACGTATCACCCTCTGCTCCGCAATTGGAAGGCATCACTTCACCTTGAGAGGATGTAAGAAGGAGCTGTACACTTTGATGGGGATCAACTCGACAGCCACATCACAGCTGATGCTGATTGGCTCTAGAGATCCCTGGAAAACCATGTCCAACAGAATAAACTGATAGGATTTCTTTATAGCCAACTTTCTATTCTGTGCTTGTTGCATTTTAACGATGATGAGGATAATCTGATAACCCCAACAAGATGACCTTTCAGATGACAGCACAAAATTAGACAGTTTCCCAAGCCACTTACGCTTTCAGATTTTTGGAGCATGCACATGTAAAAGTCGAAAAAAAGGTTGTCTGACCGAATTCTCTGTGGTCTCAAAGCTGAAATTTTATTTGAAACTTAAGCTGAAGCCAGCAAAATGGAGTTGGAAGTTGGTGCAAGGAAAATATTGCAGCTACAAGAGATAAGGTGTTGCAGAGAGGTCAAGATTTGGACGGAGAAAGGTCGATTATGCCTACTTCTCAGCTGTCAGACCAATTAGGCCTCTTGGTTAGGCACATTTACCAGAGCCCGCTTCTTCAAATTCGCCCGAGGCGCCCCTCCCGTTGGCAATACCATGAAGTATCCTGGCTTCAGCCAAAACTCCTGTGAAATCATGGTTGAGCACACAAAAAATCATGTCTGAATGTTAAGTTACTTCACTTAGGGTTGTGAAGACGAGACTACAGAAGCCATTCAGGACCGCTCAGTCGATGAACCACGACGTGGTCTCGAACGTCTACCTCGAGTACAAAAAACCCCATCACAAAAAAAAAACAAATTGTCGTTGATAGAATCTCCATTGGCAAATTAATGAAGGGGTCAGCACTTTAGCTTTATAGCAAAAGGCTTTTTTTGGTCATGGCTTGTCCAGTTAAGAAGATACCCGCTAAAGACTGCCTGATGGATGCCTCACCTTCACCTTTGAAAAGGTGCGGCTACGTAAAAGTATCCAACTTATGGTACTTTGTGCCTGAACCCTCGCCATAGAGTGAAGCACCACCGCCTCCGTCAATATTGTAAGATCAGAAGTTGCTAAGACCAACGCCATCCGCGACTGTATCAGGCGAACCGTTTCAGGGCCTGCGCCAAGCTCAAGATCCAAGGTACGATACCTCAACCGTTTGGAGTTGGCCGGATTCACAATTTGGCAAAAGGCACCCTTACTGCCATTTGGTAGGACACCATTTCACCTTTCTAACGTCGTCAGATCACTTAATTAGGTCATACCGCTAATATTTGGTATTTAAAGCTTGTTAAAAAACTTATTTTGTAAAAATATCTGTTGAGGAGTGCACTTTGAGTGCAAAGATATCTTTCTGTGTCGCAAAAAATCAACACCGCTTTCGATCTGTTTGTCCTCATGACAAGGGATAAGTGCGATGCCTGGAATGTGCTCCAAGTACATCACATTCCATCAAAGTCAACAACAGGTTACATTTGTTAAATTTTCTATAATCACGTTATTCTAACTTCACCTTTTTGTAGCAAAAGCTGAATTTTTTTAACAAAACAACTATCGGTTCTTGAATAAATTGAAAAAAAACTGATCCGACCGGTCTAATGAATAAAATATTCAGACTGTCCGAAGAAAAAGTGCCCAGTGAGTATCTATATTCTTTAGCATGAAAAATATTCAAAATAATGCATATTTTAATCTACTCTGAGAAAAGGAAAGATGAAAAAATTTGATTGACGCACTTGCAGACATACAACATCAGTTGAAAGGAAGACTCACAGTTTGTGCATTTCCTGGGGAGTGGCATCTGCAATGACCGGGTGGAGTGGACTCCTCCATTTTGCATGATGTGTAAACAGAACAAGTAAAGTTCCAGTCCTCAGTAGGAATGTTCCCCCCAAGCTGAATCGTTTCAACACCCTCGTGGCGTGGTCCGAAATCAACCCGCAGCGTAGACCAATCAGACATGAGGCGACTGTGATTGGTCCAAGCCAGTGCTTTGTTTGCGGGTGCTTGGGCTCCGTCCAAGGCAAGATGAAGACTCACACCTTTAACAATGTCACACCTAAACCCGAAAAAGTTCCTTGGATTTCGGCAATTTGAACAATCATTTGTAGTTCCTCCATAATGTATGCATAAAGTCATTCGGCTGCATTGGCGGAAATGCGGTACAGGGGATATCACTTGTGG